GGGGGCTCAGTGGTAGAGTGCTTGCTTTGCATGCATGAGGCCCTGGGTTCGATTCCTCAGCACCACATAAGCAAAAAGAAAAAAGCCAGAAGTGGCTGTGGCTCAAGTGGTAGAGCGCTAGCCTTGAGCTGAAGAGCTGAGGGACAGTGCCCAGGCCCAGAGTTCAGGCCCCACAACCGGACCCCAAAAGAATATCTCAAAGGAAAGATGTGTCAGCCAAGAAATGACATAATCAAAATAGATTTTGCCCATCAACAACTCTCCCTGGTTAAACACAAAGGATAAAAACTCTATTGTTCTACTCTGGACATTTTTCATCACATTGAGAGTTTATGAAGGGCTCAGAAAAAATTAAATTTAAATTCTGCCTTAATGGAGTTATTTATGAGCAAAAGTAACATAGCCTCAAAGCATAAGCAGCAAATGAGATTTCTTGGAAAAAATAGGTTAAAAAGACATTCAGATATAAGACCTGGGGCTGGGAAGGTGGCTCAGTGGTAGAGCACTTGCCTTGAGTGCATGAGGCCCTAGGTTCGATTCCTCAGCACCACATAAGCAAAAAAAAAAAAAAAGCCAGAAGTGGCGCTGTGGCTCAAGTGGTAGAGCGCTAGCCTTGAGCTGAAGAGCTGAGGGACAGTGCCCAGGCCCAGAGTTCAGGCCCCACAACCGGACCCCAAAAGAATATCTCAAAGGAAAGATGTGTCAGCCAAGAAATGACATAATCAAAATAGATTTTGCCCATCAACAACTCTCCCTGGTTAAACACAAAGGATAAAAACTCTATTGTTCTACTCTGGACATTTTTCATCACATTGAGAGTTTATGAAGGGCTCAGAAAAAATTAAATTTAAATTCTGCCTTAATGGAGTTATTTATGAGCAAAAGTAACATAGCCTCAAAGCATAAGCAGCAAATGAGATTTCTTGGAAAAAATGGTTAAAAAGACATTCAGATATAAGACCTGGGGCTGGGAAGGTGGCTCAGTGGTAGAGTGCTTGCCTTGCATGCATGAGGCCCTGGGTTCGATTCCTCAGCACCACATAAGCAGAAAAAGCCAGAAGTGGCACTGTGGCTCAAGTGGTAGAGCGCTAGCCTTGAGCTGAAGAGCTGAGGGACAGCGCCCAGGCCCAGAGTTCAAGCCCCACGCCTGACCACCCCCCCCAAAAAACAAAGAGTTTAGAACTAAAAAAAAAAAAAAAAAGATTTGAGAAGTAAAATACCATTATGTGTTTGTGAAGACAGCTGCAAATATGTGGTGTACCATACTAATGACCACCATGGGCATACTTCATCAACAGAAAGGAAAGGGAAAAATGCCCTGAATTTCTGATAGTGGTGATTTCGAGTCTTTCTCAAGTCTCTATCAACATCTCACTGCAGTAGATCTCTTACTAAAAAGAGACTGCATAGGAAATCAGAGGAGGGAAGTGGGGAAAGGACATAGTGTCTTTATATGCCTTTCATTAAAGGCAGTCTCCCAGCCTTGTTATACATCCTCCTTACTATATGCCCCATGGCTGGTACAGCAGTCCACCACAGCGCAGAAGATCAGACAGTAGTCTTCTCCACTCACCTTCCTTCTGCCTTCTCCACTGGAACTCCAGCACCACATCATCATGCCCCACAAAGGTGTGGACTGGGGTGTTCAAGTCAAAGACATTCCAGAGTAGCAGGCTGTTTTCTCTCCGCAGCTGGGGAACCATTACAGTCACTAACCCATTGCTAAATGGCTATGACAAGAAAGGAGAAGCAGTTGACTATTCCAAGGCAAATCAGTTTTTCCAAAGTTGTAGTTCTTACTAATTGAAATAGATTAGATGATAAAAGACCTCACCCCATCTGGGGAAAATCTCCCCTGATACAATAAGGTGACCATGGCATCTAACCTTCACTTAGCTTAGGGAAGAGACCTCAGCAAGTGAAAAAAACTCAGGCTGAGCCTTGGAGAACTTTGAAAATTCTACAATAAGCTCTACAATGGCTCTTACTGATATTTCACATCCTAGCTGCTCTCTATGAGCCCCCTCTGAAGAATGAGCACACGAGGCTCACTGGGGGAACCCAAGAGCAGCAATTATAATGCAGAGAGGCCAGAAGCATATGATCCACATGAAATATCACCTTTCCACCATCCCAGTGTCACACTACTCTACACAGCTAGGTGTTGAGTAGTGTAGAGTGTACTCTACTCTACTAGGTGCTCTTGGGAGAACCCCAAGAGCTTCTCCCAAGAGCAGCAATTAAATTCCTGCCATGCAGAGAGGCCAGAAGCATACGATCCACATGAAATATCACCTTTCCGCCACCCCAGTGTCATACTACTAGGGAAAACCTAGTAACCTCAGGACTTAGCAATCTCCAACCTTCCAGGGAGCTAAGAGATCCATTATTTTGATACCTATGTCCTGTTATTTACAGAATAAACCATAGTCACTTAAGTATATATTTACTTATCTTCAACTTCCATTTCAGTATCACTCATGGACTTTTCGGTGTATTATTTTTAGCAAATATATTAATTCAGATATGTCAGTTCATAAGAACAGTGTTTCATTTCTTGGCAAGTGATTCCAGATGCAGAAACAACTTAATGCCCAATTATCTTCTTTGTTCCATAACATCCCAGTGTGACAGCCCAATGCATAAAGGTAGCTTTGTTCACCCTGTGCTTGCTCTCAAATTGATACTAGAGGAAATATATTGTCTCTGACTAGCAGCTATCAATGTGGCCATGAAAAATGGCTGGAAGGTAGATAATAGCCTACCTTCTCTATCTGTAGAATTTTATGGTTTACAAAGCACTTTTTTTTGGGGGGGGGGTCCGGTGGTGGGGCCTGAACTCTGGGCCTGGCTGTCCCTCAGTTCTTCAGCTCAAGGCTAGCACTCTACCACTTGAGACACAGCGCCACTTCCGGCTTTTTTTTTTTCTGGTTATGTGGTGCTGAGGAATCAAACCCGGCCTCAGGCATGCAAGGCAAGCACTCTACCACTGAGCCACCTTCCCAGCCCTACAAAGCACATTTATATACATGGTATTTAAAAGGGAAAACAGATTGTGATGTTCTAAATGCCACTGAATTGTCTACTTCAAAACGGTGTCCTTTGGCTGGGTGCTGGTGGCTCACACCTGTAATCTTTGCTACTCAGAAGGCTGAAATCTGAGGATCACAGTTCAAAGCCAGCAGAAAAATCCATAAGGCTCTTATCACCAATTAACCATTAGAAAGCCGGAAGTAGCACTGTGGCTCAAATGGTAGAGTGCTAATCTTGAGCTGAAAAGCTCAGGGACAGCCCCCAGGCCCAGAGTTCAAGCCCCATGACTGGCAAAAACAAAAACAAAACAAAAAAATCGGTGTCCTTTATCACAACAATGAAAAAAAGAAAGGCTGAGTGGGAATTACTTTCTGTATTATGCAGATGATGAAATTTCTGCTCAAAATCAAGTGGCTTATTTTAAGCCACACATTTATAAATGGCAGAGCTGGACCCAAACTCCAAATCACACTCCTAAGTCAGAAGCCAGAGTTATTTCCATCACACTTCATTAGCTTCCAGCGCTCTACTTTCTCCACCATCCTAACCTGCTGTACTACCCCTGGGGGATACCAGCTATAGTCACTAATTCTAATGCAGAGATCTGCCCAGCACTCCAGGTAAATTTTCAAGCAGTAAAAGGCATTACCATATTTGCTGTGACTCACACCAAGACAGAAAAAGTGCCTCACTAAGAAAGAAAATAAGAGAGGCTAAGTATTGGCAGCTTATGCCTTTAATCCTAGCTGCTCAGAGAATCACAGTTCACAACCAGCCCAAGCAGGGCAGGGCTGATTTTTTTATGGCGATACAATCTAAAACCAAACAACAACAACAACAAAAACAGTAAAAAGCTGGGCCGGAGGCATGGCTTAGGTGACAGAGTGCCAGCCAAATGAATAAACAAGCCAAGCCAAGCCAGGATGAGGCCCGAGGTTCAAACCCCAGTACTGGCCAAAAATAAACAAATAAATAAATGAGAGAGAGAGAGAGACAGACAGACAGACAAAAAGAGAGAGAGAATGAGAGAGAACAAGTCCCCTTTTGCCCCTTGTGTCTGGAACACTAAGGTAGTATATGTCACTCACCGTGTATCTGGCCTTCCAGACAGGCACCTGGCAAGGGAGAATATTGAGGTATTTCCGGGGCTGGCGGTAATCCCAGAACTACAAGGGGGAAAAATAAAAAAAGATAACTTATGAAATAAACACCATTTTTTTAGAACTTGGCTATTGAAATAGGCATAGTCTTTGAATGCATTGCTTTTTGTTTCTCTGAAGAAAATTCCAATAGTGTATTTTGTAGCTCCATTTCCATAACTATGCTACTGTGCGACAGGAAGAATCATTCTGTACACATCTATAAACATTACAGTAAGATTTCTAGACTTCACGAGCACCACCAATCAGGGCAGATCACTGTTCCCTGCCAGGGAACTTCTGCTGCAGCTGAAAGGTGAATGAAACAGGCTTTGATCTTGCATTATTTTTACATCAAGCAAGTAATGTAATGACAAGCTATGAAATGCCCTACTTACTGCCGTCAGACATGCACACCCTTACAACTTTAAGGTGTTTTAATCTCACTTAATCTTTACAACAAACATATAGCAGATGCTAGTTAGCTCATTTTTAAATGCAGGACTAGATGGTTTCTGGTTCCTGAACTTGATAGATAAGCTTACTGGGATATGAGACAAAACTCAAGTGTAATAAATAAAATAAAAACAAACCACTTCTGACACATAAAAGTAAATTACAAACAGTAAAAGATTAAGAACAAAAACTACTAAGCTGGGAATTAGTGGTTCACGCCTGTAATCCTAACTACTCAAGAGGCTGAGATCTGATGACTGAGATTCCAAGCCATACTGGGCAGGAAAATTTAAGATTCTTCTCCAATTAACCAGCAAAATGCCTTAAGTGGAGCTGTGGCTCAAGCACAACACCAGCCTTGAGTGAAAAAGCTAAGAGATAACACACAGGCCCTGAGTTCAAGTCTTTGTATCAGCGCACGTGCACATGCATGCACACACAACCCAAGTGCTAGTGGCTCATGCCTGTGATCATAGCTACACAGGAGACTGAGATCTGAGGGTCACAGTTCAAAGCCAGCCCAGGCAGCCCATGAGACTCTTATCTCCAATAAACTACCCAAAAAAAAACAAAACAAGGGCTGGGAAGGTGGCTCAGTGGTAGAGCACTTGCTTTGCATGCCTGAGGCCCTGGGTTCGATTCCTCAGCACCACATAAGCAAAAAGAAAAAAAGCCGGAAGTGGTGCTGTGGCTCAAGTGGTAGAGTGCTAACCTTGAGCAAAAGAAGCTTAGAGACAATGCCTAGGCCCTGAGTTCAAGGGCCAGGACTGGCAAAAAAAAAAAAGCTGGAAGTGGTGCTGTAGCTCAAGTGGTAGAGAACTAGCCTTGAGCACAGAGAGGCTCAGGGGCAGTGCCCAAGCCCTGAGTTCAAGCCCCAGACTGGCCAAAAAAAAAAAAAAAGGCTCTGTCTTGATGTTTATAAACCCCTTGGGGTTGTAATTTATTTGAATCATTTTAGTTTTTTTTCCCTTCCTTCCTTCCTTCCTTCCGCCACACCTGAGGCTTTGAACTCAGGACCTGGGCACTGTCCCTGAGTTTCTTTTGCTCAAGGCTAGCACTCTACCACTTGGCTACAGCACCACTTCTGGATTTTTCTGTTTATGTGCTACTGAGGAATTGAACCTATTGCTTCATGCATGTAGGCAAGCACTCTACCAGTAAGCCACATTCCCAGCCCAAAACAGAACCTTTTAAGTCTTATGCATGACTCTAGTTCTATTAACCAACAAATGGTGTATAACATATATATATGAATACAATAAAGCATTAAATATTAATTTAATGCTGTTATAAACCTGCTAAGCCAACTTCTACAGTGAAGTCCCTGTCTTTATGGGACACAGGAGGAACTGTGGAACAGAAGTGGCCCTGCCCTGCTCCCAATCTGACCAAGGGTAACAGAAAATGCCACAATCAGAGAGGACAAAGAAACAAGACACACTGTACTGTGAGATAAACCAAAAACAACAGGGTCATCAAAACACATCAAACCCTGAGCATTTCTGGGATGTTAACATATACCTAGCAAAACAACTCTATGCCTAACTTTTGCAATGCTAATGTGTAAGAGGTCCTAACTTTAGCAGATATGATAATCGTATGAGAAAACTGCTGTTTTTCCATTATAAGCTGACTAAAGAAAACTTGGTAACCGAAGCAATTTGGTGGTTTTCTTTTCTACTCGGTCTCAGTGTGTATATCTGACTTCCTTGCAAGTACACTTCTTTTCCTTCCTAAATGCTTTTGTCACGGACTTCCTGTCACAGAGGGAAGGAAACTTAAACAAGTTAGCTGCCATACATCACTTGTGCTGGTCGATAAAAAGCTTGCTCAGTTTTACTTTATTCACTCAGCTCCCCATGAGGTGCATGTTCCCATGAAACAGAGGATGCTAGCTCTCTGTAGCTTTCTCTCCCATTGCTAAACAACAACCCCATCCCGCCCAAAACAGCTCCTCTAACTGCCCCAACAGGTGCCACTCACCTTGACAGAGTTGTCTTGACTGGAAGTAGCAAGAATGTGCTCACTATCTGGATGCCAGTCCAGCCCATGGATTTTGGAGAGATGGGCTGCTAAATATTCCACTGCTGTGCTAGGTTTCTGCAAGAGATTTGGCCCTGAGTTTGTCAATTTCAAAAGAACTTGACCGAGGGCCCATCACAGAGTAGTCTGATGGGTAGTGAGGGGATACAAAAATACTGTCAGGTACTATTTATACCTTTTACAAGTACTGTTCTAAGCCAAACAGACCACCAACAATGGAGGACTAATTAATATCCTCTAGGAAGGACAAAAATGAATTACACTCGGGGGGAAAATGTTCACTCACCCGCTTATCCCATATCCGAACATCACCGTCATGGCTCGTGGCAAGGCAATTGGCATTTTTTTTATTCCATTTGACCTGGGAAGCACCAGCTACAAAGAAAAACCAAGGGAAGAAAGCTGCTTCCTTCAGTGCTGTCAGAAGCAGAGGGAAGCACCTCCACAGCAGTTGGATCATGAGCTCTAGAACCTTCCAGTTTTCTATGACTGCACCAACGCTATCTACCACTACAGTTTGATGTGGCCACTGGCTCAATGGGCTCCACTGTTTGCAGTGTCAGACAATGTAAATCCAAGTCCTTTTTCCTCAGTGCCAATCCAGAAAGGCTCAGAGCTACCCAAGACAGGAGGAGGAAAGGGCTGAGACACGGAGAAACTGGAATACAGTGCCATGTTCAGCTGGCTCGTAAGAAATAAGTCAAATTAGCCAGGCGCTAGTGGCTCACACCTGTAATCCTAGCTACTCAGGAGGCTGAGATCTGAGGATCGCGGTTCAAAGCCAGCCCGGGCAGGAAAGACCATGAGACTCCTATCTCCAATAAACCACCAGAAAACTGGAAGTGGCGCTGTAGCTCAAGTGGTAGAGCGCTCGCCTTAAGCTGAAG